TAGAGAACAGGGATATTGCTAAGCATCCTACCATGCACAAAATAGCCCCCACCACAAAGAATTACCCGGCCCTAAATGCCAACAGTTCCAACGTTGAAAAGCCCTACCCTAGGGGTAGGCCAGTTGGTGAGGTAGAACTTAAGGCATCATGGTAGACACAACATCAAGCGGGGCTGTTGGGTTCTTTAAGAAGTATGTGTTTTTGAAAGTGTGTTAGTAGAAAAGGTTGAGTCCTCATAGTCTTATGTAAAAAAATAATTTTAATCTCTAGGAATTTTATTATCAGCAACTTTTGCAATGTACAAATTGAAATTCATTTAGATTTTTTTAAAATTTCACACTACAAAGCAGGATCCAGAGTAAATATGATTAAAATCTCTGACAGAAATAACTATTTGTGCCCTGGCCAGTTTGGTTCAGTGGTTAGAGTGTCAGCCTGCGGGCTGAAGGGTTCCGGGTTCGATTCCCACCAAGGGCATGTGTCTCGGTTGCAGGCTCGATCCCTGGGCCTGGTCTGGGCATGTGCAGGAGGCAACCAATCGATGTGTCTCTCATATTGATGTTTCTCTCTCTCTCTCTCTCTCCCTCCCTTCCACTCTCTCTGAAAATGCAATGAAAAAATATCCTTGGGTGAAGATTTAAAAACTGTTCACCATTTTGAGTCTCTCATAATGTTTGCAGGCAAGTTAACTAGGCTAAAATGACAGAAATAGAAAGGACTTTAGGTATCAACTCCCTCATTTCATAGGGCAAAGGCAGCAATGCCCAGTGGCAAAGCTGGGCTGTTAAAAAAAAAAAAAAAAGCCCTGGCTGGGTAGCTCAGTTGGTCTGTGCACCATCCCCATATGACAAGGTTGTAGGTTTGATACCTGGTCAGGGGACCAACCAACGAATGCATAAGTAAGTGAAACAACAAATTGATGTTTCTCTCTCTCTCTCTCAAAAATCATTTAAAAAAAGAGAAAGAAAATATCCTAATGCCTCATTCTCAGCTCCTAGGGAAAAAGGAAGATGGTTCTATTTTTACTTATTGCACTGGACACCGGAATTACCCTAAGACAAGAAGATATGCAGCAGCTTTGATTGGGAAATTGAACTCGACAAGTAAATTTTTTCTGTAGCATCCCAGCAGAGGACACAAAATCAGTGCGAGAAGCATGTACTCTACAGAGTGGTGGTGTTTAGACTGGTGCAGTGAAAATTCAGGCAAAACATGGTGAGGAAAAGAACCAGGGTATGAAGATGGCCCAGGGATTGATTAACAGGGTCCCAAAGAGCCTTAGTCAACAAGTTACAAAGCGGAGTTTTGAGGACTATGGAAGAGTGGAGGCCCATCAAGCTCCAAGGAACAGCTCACCACGCCCACAGGATGGCTCTACAACTTTGAAGTCAGTCATCCATTCAGGGAAATAAATGATCCAGCTATTTATATTTGACCTGATCAGTACATTCAGGAAAACCACAAATCTCTGTTGGCGTTTTACACACATGACCTCATCAGCATCCTTACCACATCCTGAAGTTGCTCCCATCTTACAGAAAGGAAAGACGCTCTCCAGCCCTCCTTCCTGCCTTATGTGTTTTCCACCCAGTCTCCAACTGTCCCCCACCTGGGAGACATACTGGGAGCCTTCAGAGGCCCAGGCTCCAGACCTTGCCCTGGCCTGACTGAATTCAATCTCTGTTCATTGGATTCTCCTTGGGTTACAGAAGTAAACGATCCCTGATGTGCATGCATATGCTCGGGATAAAAAGAGATAAAAAAAAGGAGGTCTGAACTCTTAGAAAGAGCAGTGCCTTGAAAACAAGTGGAATTATTGTATCGGGTGACTGGCCAGTAGAACTCAGGGCAGAGTTTAGCCTGGGCAGCAAGAACAGCACGACACCGAGGCTCTCGTGGCTCCGTTAGACCAGCAGACAGCAGAAAGTGTTTTCTCTGGTAGCAGCAATTGTCCTGGTCTGCCCTCTGTCATGGCCACAGGAGCCCCTCCATTTCTTTCTTCCCCACCTTGCTTCTCAGGAGCCCCTAAACTACAGCACCAAGTGGACCCAAGTTTAGATGCCCCAAAAAGCCCCAGATGTGAGGCCTCCAGCCGTGCAGGTTGGCCTGCTTGGCCAATTCAGGGGAGCCCACAGAGAGATGGGCTGGGGCTTCTGTGGTCTCTCTGGGTCCTGAGGCTCCTACACTTAGAGGGAGAGATTGAAAGCAAATTTGATTCTGGGTTCAGATCATTTTATAGCATCATCTTTAGAGTATAGGTACATTTCACAATAGGGGCAAAGTCCAGAATAAAAAAGAAGGAAGCTAAACATTAGGAAAAGTGTCACTGAGGAGCCCAAGTCCTGTGTGCTTGTCTAAATGTACACAGCCAGGTCTAGAATCAGAACATACTTAAGGTCTCCCCCTTGCTCTTCAAACATGCCATTCCTTCAGCTCTCTCTGTCAGGTTGACATTCTGTCTGCCCAAGATCTCCTGCCCCTCGGGCCCCTCCCTTGCCTCACCTAGACCCTCAGCAGCATTCCCAGGCCTCAGCCCAGCCTCACCCAGTAGGTGACCTCAGGCCCTGTGTCAGGTGCTGCCACTGTTCCACTTTGTGATTTTTACGTTTTCAAGAAAAATGGGAGTTTAGAAAATTTTACTCATGAGACATCCAAAAATAATAGAATGAGGGATGGAACACAGAGCTCTCCATGCTTGGTTTGGAAAGGACTAGAGGGACCAAAGCCTAACTGAGATCATGACGTTGAGGTAGGTAGGAGGCTGCTGGCACCTGTATTATAACATGCTTGACTCCTTACAACAGTAAGATTTCCCCTGTAAGTTTTCTTAGTGACCTAGAACCCTAATGGGGTCTGCATTCTAGTAAACATTTAGCCTTTATCTAGTCTTGGACATCGAAGACCAGTTTGGGTGACCCAATTCAATCTGAATGGAAATTGGGACAAGGCTCAGGTGACTTTATCCACACAGAAACAAGCTAAACCTGGGCTAATGCAAATAGGATCCCCAAAGGGACTTCATCAGATATCTAACAAAGGGATGCCAACAAAACAGTCTTATGTATTTACAGAGGAATGTTCTGCTCAGTATTTTGTTGACCAAATTATTTGCTTAGAAAGGATACTATGAATCTTTAATAAATTGGGCGACTCCTTTGTTCAGACTGGCCTTCCACTTAATTCTAAATTATTGCTATATGTTTACCCCCAAATCTGCAGAATTTACAACCCCACCTCAACAAAAAAGCTTCTCATAAGAAAAAAATATTCAGTTGTAACTTATATCAGTGTTTTCAAACTGCCTCAAGATCTCAAAAGTAAGTACATCTGGGCTGAGTAGGTGGGGCTCCATCCCTCACTCATGCTGGTCCATACCCTTCCCTCCCAATCAAATACTTTTGACTGTTCTGCATATTGAGCTTATTACTCCGCTGCTTGTAAAGGGGGCTTGAGAAACCAGACTTAGGCGGGCAGGCGCCATTGCTGGAGTGTCCTCAAACAGTACCAGGGCCAACACCCCCACTGTCCAGAATCGGTGGGGAATCAGGACCTTTTCTTGGGGATGGAATCCAGATGGCTCCTTCATTCAGGGAAGAAGGGATGGGCGGAACCTAAAAAATGCTTCTAGACTATAAAGAAGTGTCCAACCTAAATAGGCAAAATATACCTTTTAATGAGACTGCTGTACTATAATCATTCCTGCATCTCCGGTGTTTCCTAAAAACAAAGGAACAAAACAAAACGACCTACACTAAAGAGCAGTTATGGAAAGCAGATGTGTACAAATAAAGTCATCATTTAGGAAATGGAAAGTCCAGAGTTCAAGTCCAACCTGCCTAAAGCAAATTCAAACTGGAATTACAGAGCAGCTAAATGGTTATTCATATTACAATGTTTTGGTGTGTTTTTTGCCAGAGCATTCCTCTACATAGCATTGTTACTTGGCATTCAAAATATAACTCATTTACAAACAATGTGTAATTTACATACAACTTCAGGAAATATGCATTGGAGTAAAATGAGCAGGGAGAAGGGAGAAAGTAACAGCCCCATTCTGTGAGTGTCTGTCTGGGGTTGTAGAGTTCCCAAATATTAGATGCGAAGTAAGGCTGGAGGAAGCATGTGGGGTGACAATAATCACAGTGACTTTTTTCCCTCAAAAAAACTATTCTTAACCTGCTTTCCATGATGGATTTTGTGGAACTGTGGCTAAAACTTCCCAGACACAGAGACTAGCATGAGGCAACAATATAAGGATATGTCACTTTGGACACACGGGATATGATAAATACGGTAAACCCATAGATTTAAGTCACTTTGGACATACAGGATACAATGGATATGGCATACCCATGGATATAATACAAGGATATGTCACCTTGAACGCAAGGATATTCATTTAGACACGGGCTGGAGTTTTTCTATTAAAGCAATGCTTCAGATTTTTGTTGCAAGAGAAAATGAGGGACCAGACAGATATCTCCCTGGTTTAAAAGGCCAGGAAAGCTCTGGCCCATGCGACTCAGTCGGCTGGGCATTGTCCCAGGCACTGAAGGGCTGCCGGTCCGATTCCTGGTCAGGGCAGGTCAAGGCATGTGCCCAGGTTGCAGGATCGATCCCTCAGGAGGCAGCCGATCAATGTTTCCCTCTCACATTGATGTTTTTCTCCCTCTCCCTTCCTCTCTCTCTAAAAGAAAATCAATTTTAAAAATCTTAAAAATAAAAAAGATTGGGAAATAATTTTATCCAAAAAAAGCCCAGTACACTTAGCCTAAGGCACTGGGGTAGGGCAGAAAGAACCCTTTCCAGTGGGTTCAAGGGTGACACCAGGGCGTCACTGAGCAAGACCCTCTTCAGATACCCCACCCCCGCTTGGCTTCCGTTGGGAGAGCACATGTGAGGCAGGCAGAGGCTGACACTGGCATTACCAGTTTGCATTTTGTAAACGACTAAGCAACCTAAGCAAGCAATGCATAAATATGGGCGTTTTGAGAGTAAATCAAAATCCATACGACGAATTTATTTCCTCTGGTTCTACTACAAAAAAGGGTCAAGAGAGGGAGGGAAGCAGAGAGAGAGCAAAAAGGAAGGGAAAAGAGAAAGGGGGGGGTGAGGGAAAGGAAGAGAAGAGAGTATGGGCTGGGCGCAGGAGAGGGGGCGCGAGTGAGTTTCCAAAGGTGCTTATTCCCAGGGAGTGACATTGTGGCGGTTCAGAGGAATCTGAGTGGAGACGGGAATAACAACTCTGCTCACGGTGAGGGACGGCAAGAGAGGTCTTGGGAGCACACTGGTCTCCAGTGTACGGGGCCTGGTTTCCTGCTTGGCCTCCTTGAGAACGCACTTTTGGATGTTTGTGGGAGGTCTCAGCTCCCAGGCTTTGAATCTGGCTTTGTAGCTTTGCACTCTCTGGTTCTGCAAAAGCTGCACGGTGGTGAGAGAGTGAACAGTGTTGGAACTGGGAGGGCACACCAGCTTTTTCTCACCCAGGAGGGACCAGTGCAGGCAGTCCAGCTCCGGATTGGCCAGCAGGGGTGTCTGGACCACTGGGGAAGGAAAAGGCTGCATGCAGTTGGCCTTAAGGTGCTTGGCCAGCTCAATGGGTCTCTTTCCATCTTTCCCGCCAACTATTTTCAATCCATATGCACAAGCCACACACTCATCATTTTCCACACTCAGCACCTTCTCTTCTGGCTGCAAGAGAAAGTTCTTACTCTTCTTACCCAGAACATCCAAGCCATTTGGGACTGAAGCCTTCAGGGGAGGCAGAACTAAAAGGGCCTTGGAAGTCAATGAGTCTGACACAGAGGGACCTCGATCAGTGCCTCTGCTGGGGTTCTGGTCCCTAACAGTGTTGGGGAGGGCCCACTCTTCCATGCACCAAATAAACTCCTTTATTTGGAGACTTTTTTTCTCTTCCTGATTGTAGGAGGGAAAGCACATCTTGCTAATCCTCCTGGAGGCAGTGGTAGGGCCTCCAGGGGGGCTCTGAGTCTTGCAGGGGCTACCTCGATCCTTCTCTGGGCCTGCTTCAGCCAGAGCCCCTGACTCCAACTTCCCAGCCTCAGACTGAGGCTTGGTCTCAGGGATCCCTTGGGAGAGACCGACACAGAGTAAGCAGCTGCTGACACTTTCTCCCACCTTCATCTTTTTAAGCTTCTTCCTGGGCCAGAGACAGGCAGTTGGAGAAGTCTTTCCCCAGCCTTGAACCTGCAAATAAAGCAGCGTGTTACTCTCAGCTGAGCAGCTCACTCTAGCTGCCCCAATTCTGGTCACAGCCCCATTTTGGCCATCCCATTTGAACTAATATTTTTCTTTAAACAGACATTTTCTTCTACTTTTAATACCTATTTTTAGCCTCATATTAAGCAGTAGTATTTAAAATCTGAAATACTAGCAATAGGATTTATAAAATACTAAGCAACAGTATCTGTAAATGGCCACCTTGATGTGCTGACTATATTTTTTCAGATGTACATTAAAATAAATTTGGAACTATTAAATAAAAATAAATTAAAAATTGTTTGTCTTGTTCCCCCTTCCAGGCTCTGTTTACCATACTGGGGGAGACTGCTGCATGGTGGGGCTGGAGGGAGAGCGGATGAGCAGAGGCAGGTCCATGCCAACAGCCCTTAGACGTGTATTTCAAAGTAGTTACCTTCAATAGTAAACTGAACCTCTAAACTTAAAATTCTTAAATAGGACTATCTGGCACGGGAGTATGCGTTTGGAAGGTCACAGATGGGTGGGGGTGGGGAAGTAGAGAGAATACTAGAGGGCTCTTGAAGACATGATTAAGACATGATTCTTTCAACTGTCAAGTGGACTTGGGCGAATCACTCTGCCTTGTCTTGGCCTCAGTGTCCACATTTATAAAATAAACCAAGTAGATTGGGGTTTCTCACCCTTGGCACTACCAACCCTTGGGGCTTGTTATGAACTGTATGTTTGTGTCTCTCCAAAATTCCTATGTTGAAACCCCAATCCCCAATGTGATGGTATTTGGAGGTAGGGCATCTTAGGTAATTAGAGTGAGATAAGGTCAAAAGGATGGGGCCTTCATGATGGGATCAGTGTCCTTATAAGAAAAGGAGTCAAGGGATCTCTCTCTCTCTCTTTCTTGCTCTCTCTCTCTCTGCTTGTACACAACAAAGAAGGCCTCCCTGGCTGGTGTGGCTCAGTGTGTAGAATGTCAGCCCATGCACCAAAAGGTCGCTGGTTTGTTTCCCAGTCAGGGCACATGCCGGGTTGTGGGCTTGATCCGCAGCAGGGGATGTACAGGAGGCAGCTGATTGATATTTCTCTCCAGCATCAATGTTTCTCTCTCTCCCTCTCTCTTCCTCTCTAAAATTAATAAAAACATATTAACAACAACAACAACAAAGGCGGCCTTGTGAGGGCAAACCAGGAAGAGGGCCCTCACCAAGAACCCAACCATGCTGGCACCATGATCTTGAATTTCCATCCTCTGGAACTGTGAGTAATAACTGCCTGCGGCTTAAGCCACCCTGCCTGTGGCATCCTCTTACAGCAGCCTGAACTACGATGGAGCTGGATTATTCCTTGTGAAGGGTGCTGTCCTGGGCCTTGGAGGATGTGGGGCAACAACCCTGGCCTCGACCCATTAGATGCCAGTAGCATCTCCTACCCCTCACCCCTTGTTGTGACATTGCCAAGAGTAACCTAGAAACGTTAGATCAAATTTCCATATAGTTCTAAATTTAGGATGCTATTATTGATTCTATGGATAGTTTAAGATTAAACCCACAGGATTCTGAGTAGAACCACTAGGACAGAAGTCTCAGGGTCTCAGGGAGTTTAGTACAATAGTTGAGGAGCTCAGGTTCTGGAGTCCAGAAGACCTTGGCCACCGGCTGGGTGACCTTCAGCACATTATTTCACCCTTTGGGTGCCTCAGTATCCTTGTCCAAAAAGTCAGGCTGTTCATAATACCCGCCACATAGGACTATTGTGAGGTTGAATGATGTGATATACGTGAAGCATTTAGTACTGTGCTTGCCAATACTGAGTGGCCCATAAATGCTCAATAAAAGGTACTGCTATCTTCATTAATATTTTACCTGTGTTCCAAAGGTTTCTATATTTCATTGTTTACACGGTTTTTGGTAATAGTAACTATATTTGAAAATAGTAAAAATGCTTGCATCAAAACACTGACGTGCAGGCCCTGGCCGGGTAGCTCAGTTGGTTAGAGGTTCGTCCTGATACGCCAAGGTTGTGGGTCCGATCCCCGGTCAGGGCACATACAAGAATCAACCAATGAGTGCATAAATGAGTGGAACAACAAATCTCTCACTCTCCTACCTCTCTTTCTCTCTCAAATCAATAAAAAAGTAAATAAAACTTTTATTTTAAAAAAATAAACACTGATATGCAAGAGACCTAACTCAAGAAGATACTCACCGCTTCTTCCCATCCAGTTCCAATAACAAACTTGTTGACTTTTCCATCTTGTTCAGATGTAATGTCGCTGATATTGAGAAGACAACGAACATGATTCTTTTCCCTTCTCCCATCTGAACAAGCGCAGGTTGATTCTGTTTCTCCCGTGCTCTGAATTTCATTATTTCCGCTATTTCCTAACTCCACCTCGTTTCTCTGACAGAGATCCATTCCTGTGATTACTCCGAGGGCTGCTTAAAGTCTTTAACATCTTCTTCCTGCAGTTCGAGATGCGGGTTGAACTCAGTTTTTAATTTTTTTTTTTTAAAAGCATAACTCAGGTGAAACATCTTCGACACATTCAGGGATAGACTCAGAAGAAATATTACAAAACCATCCGTTGCCAACTATTGACATTATATAAGATAAGTCTAATTTTAAATAGAGACTGGTGGATTTCAGTAAGGACCAAAGTTGGGAGTGAAGCAAAAAAGGAGAGGAAGATGTTGACACAGGCTCTCTCCCTCCTGATGGGGTTCAGGCTGCAGTAAGCAACGTAGGTTTGAGCACCCCCCTCCCCC